GTGGCCCGGTGACAGTAACCTTCTGTGGGGTCTGGACACTTTTCTGCCTAAAGCCACTGGGTTTCGAGATTTGTTTCTGAGTCTCTGGGATTATGGACATTAAGCAGCTTGATCAGGAGCCAGAGAGGCCATTCGTGGGCAATGACTTGGGGTTTCATTGGGGTGGGGAGGACAGGACTGGCTCCACCCCCATCCCATGAAGTCCTGCGTGTCTCGTCACTGTGGGCCCAAACCTGACCATCCAGTGGCCTCTGGAGGATGGTGGCCACCGGGCTGCCAGAGGGAACAGGCCAAGGCACGAAACCTATTCCCACCTGGGTTGACCCAGCTCTGGTAACCTACTGCAGGGACCGGATGCATTTCTGCCAAAAGCTGCTGGGTTTTGAGATTTGTTTCTGAGTCTCTGGGATCATGGCCATTAAGCAGTTCAATCAGGAATCAGAGAGACCATGCCTCCAATTATACAGCTGAGCCTGAGGTGGTTTGTGGGTGTGTTTCCCACATACCTAACTTTTGGCAGTTTACTTTTTGGTAAATTTTGCCCCAAGTTTTTGGGGTCTGGCTAAAGGCACAGCAGCAATTTTGGGGTATCTGGAAGTCTGAAGGCGCCATCAGGCTGCTGATGCACTCGCCTCACAGGTACAGATTGACCTGCTGGCGGCACCATACCCCCTTATGCTGATTTTAATCTTTACTCTTATACTGCAATTTATTACAGCCCCAACCACTACTCTGAAATTCTGTGAGTCTTCCTAGCAAATCCCCAAACCTGAGGGAAGTCCTCAGAGCCCATGATACAGGTGTGAATCCACATTAGTGCTCAGTGCAGCCTTCCAGGGGCCATCTGGGATTTTGACAGGACTGTGCAATCTGCCCATTTGGTGCCAGATTTATATTCTGGGTCTTACTTACACAGCACATACTTGAGAACTGAATACATTCCTATTCCTTTTTCAACTATGGGGAATTTTTTTTTCCTTTGAGATTTTTATCATGAGATAATACTGAATTTTGCTTACTCTTTTGGCATCTATTTAGATGCTTTTGTTTTCTTTTGTAATTAAAAATTTATATTCATATTGTGTATGGCATTGATTGGTTTGCCATGTATTAAACCAACCTTGCATTCCTGGCATTGATCCACTTGATCATTGTGTATAATCCTTTACCAATTCTTGAAGATTTTTTTTTTTGGTTATAAATTAATTAAAATTTCTTTTTGGTACCTGTGATTTACAATGCTGTTAGTGGCAGGGTTTTATGCATAAAACATTATACCACCACACCTTCCTCCGTGTCTACTTCCCCCCACTGTACTCTGTGCCCCCGAACCCTTGCCATGGGAAGCTTTTTATAAGGACAGCTCTCAGTTTCCGCTGCCTTTAGCCCCTTGTTATTCCTCATTACTTCTCTTTATTTCCTGTCGAGGAGGAAGATCGTTCTATAGCTGTCCCTCTCCTTCCCACTAACTTCACTCTGCATGATACTTACTGAGGAATTTTGTGGTTAGTAATTGTTCTTGTGACGGCTATGTGTGGTTTTGATGTCAGTTAATATGGGCCTTATACATTATATTGGGAAATATCTTCATTATTTTGGAAAAGCTTGTAAAGGATTAATATTAGATTATCTTTTAAAGATGCTAATAACAAGGTGTGGGGAAATAGTACAGTGTGTAGAGCACTTGCCTTGCGTGCTGCTGGCCTGGGTTCAATCCTGGGCATCATATATGGGCCCTAAGCCCCCCCCCCCAGGACTGATGGCTGAGCACCACCAGGTACCCAAACACCCCAAACCCCCCAATGTAAAAAATGAGAATATTTTTCTTTTTTTTTTCCTTTTTGGGTCACACCCAGCAATGCTCAGGGGTTACTCCTGGCTTTGAACTCAGGAATTACTCCTAGCAGTGCTCAGGGGACCATATGGGATGCTGGGGATCGAACCTGGGTCAGCCGCGTGCAAGGCAAATGCTATACCTGCTGTACTATCGCTCTGGCCCCTAAAAATGAGAACATTTTTCATATTTACCATCTTCTTTTGTTTCTTTCACATTTACCTTTTCATATATTTATTTTTTTACTTTTTCTTTTTTTCTTTTTGTTTTCTTTTTTTTTCCTTTTTGGGTCATACCGGGCAATGCACAGGGATTACTCCTGGCTCTGCACTCAGAAGTTACCCCTGGCGGTGTTCAGGGCACCATATGGGATGCTGGAAATCGAACCCGGGTCAGCCACATGCAAGGCACATGCCCTACCCTCTGTGCTATTGCTCCAGCCCCTTTACTCTTTCTTCAATCTAGATTCTGTCTAGATCATGTAAGAAGAGCTTACTCTGATACTTCTCATAGTGTAATTTTTGTCATGATAATTTTTTCAGCTTCTGTTACTCTGAAATTGCGTTTTAAATTTTAGCATTTCTAGGATGTCACCCTCTCAGCCTAGCAGTTTCAGAAGAAATTCTGCTGTTATTAACTTTGTTTCTCAGCATATAATATGTCTCTCTGTGCAATATGATTAAAATGTCCTCTTTTCCTTGCTTTTCAACAGTTTGATCTTTCTTTATGACTTTCTTACATTCTCACTATGTTTGTTGATTTTCACTGATAGGTGGTTCATAGTTTCACCAAATCTGGAAATTTGGGGGTTGGGAGATATTACAGTGGCTAAACAATCATGTTTATGTTTTCTTTTTTCATCATAGAGTATGTTTATAATACTCATAAAACTATCTTTGAGTATATTTATAGTACTTATAAATCTGTTTTGAGATCTTCTTTTCTTATAGTTTGGGTCTTTTTGTACTGTCTGATTTTTCTCCCGCTTATGAGTTACATTGTTTTGCTTCTCCATATTTTGTAGTAAATTTTTATTCACTGCTGGATATTTTGAATTTTACACAGTTAAGTGTTGTGTTGCATTTTACTCTTTCTTTAGAGTGTATTAGACTTCTCCTAAAAGCAATTGTCACTTTTGAATGTTGATCACTTAAAGAATATTTATAAGCTTTTCTTTTGTTGCTTTTCTTTTTAAAATTAATTAATTTTTATTAAATCACTGTGAGTTATGCTTACAAAGCTTTCATGTTTGAGTTTCAGTCATACAATGATCGAACATCCATCTCTCTTCCAGTGTACATTTTCCACCACCAATGTTCGCAGTATCCCTACCCCCTCACTTGCATCCCACCTTTCTCCCTGCATCTATGACAGAAGTTTCCCTCTTACTCTTTCTCTACTTATAGGCATTCTGGTTTGCAATACAAATGATGAGTGGCCATCATGTTTGGTCCTTTATCTACTTTCAGCACACATCTCCCATCCCGAATGATCTCCTCAACCATCATTGACTTAGTGATCCCTTCTTTATTCCAGCTACCTTTCCCCCCAGCATGTGAGACAGGCTACCAACCATGGAGCAATCTTCTTGGCCCTGTCTCTACTGTCCTTGGTTGTTAGTCTCATATTATGTTATTTTATATTACACAAATGAGTGCAGTCCTTCTATGTCTGTCCCTCTCTTTTTGACTCATTTCACTTAGCATGATACTCTCCATGACCATCCACTCATCAGCAAATTTCATGACTTCATCTCTCCTAACAGCTGCATAGTATTCCATTGTGTAGATGTACCAACGTTTCTTTAACCAGTTGTGTGTTCTCAGGCACTTGGGTTGTTTCCAGATTCTGGCTATTGTCAACAGTTATAAGCTTTTCTTAGGAAGTCTTTAGTTCTAAGAACTAATTTTGCTCTACTTTTAATTTAAATTAAATCTATCTGGGTTCTCTACTGAATGTTCCTTATAAAATCAGTCAGGTCTCTCCTTTCTTGCTGAAATCAATGTCATTTCTGTTCCAGTGCGAGCTGTAGGAAATGGCTGCCTCACTGATCCTTAATATTCTCTCAAGACTAGTGGGAACAGAAAGAAACCTCAAAGGGCTGGGCTCATGCTTTGCATGTGTGAAGCCTGTGATCCCTGGCACCACACATGGATCCTTGAGCACTGCTTGGAGGGAACAGAACCGGAAATAGCCTCTGAGCACCACCAGATTTTGCCAAACAAACATTTTTTTATGGTTAGTTATTTTTGTTTGGCCTTATGGAAATTCATGTTACTTAGCATGAGATTATTGTTCAGCTAGACTGGAGGAGACTTTTTGGGATTTTGCTTTGGTTGCATAACTCTGCTTTTCTAGGACTTTGCCTTTCAAATTCTAATTGCTCTGACCTCTCTGGCTGTGATCTCTGGTTCCTCAAGTCTGAGATCACCAGAGGCTCCAGATCCTTTGTTATTTTGCATAGCTTGTGGCCCAGACTCTGAAAATGGCAAATCATGTATTTTGTCCAATTTTGTTTTTCCTTTTTGAGTCACACCCGGCAATAATGCACAGGGGTTATCCCTGGCTCTGCACTCAGGAATTACTCCTGGCAGTGCTCGGGGGGAGCATATGGGATGCTGGAAATCGAACCCAGGTTGGCCACGTGCAAGGCAAATGCTCTATCCGCTCTGCTATCGCTCCAGCCCTTTTTGTCCAATTTTTTAAAGAATATTTTTTTGTATACATATACACACATTTTATTGAGATTTTGTGATTTACAGTGTTTTTAATTGTCATTTCTCATGCACATGATTCTAACACCATTCTCATCACTAGTGTACGCATTCTTCACCCAAGGGCTCCAACGCCCCTCCTTTTTACAACACCACCCCAACTTCAAAACTAAATTGTATGAATCAGTTCTCCCATTATATTGCAGCATTCGAATCTCTGTTGCCACCTTTACATGCATTTTTTTCTGGACTGTCTTCCTCTGCACAATGAGAAGCCCAAGTCTGTCTCTACTGAATCTGTGTTTGTTTCTTTTGACAAACCCCTTCCAGCTGCCTTCTACTCCAGCTGTACTTCCCCACAGAAGAGCCTGTGAAACGTGCACGCACTGCGCTGAAGCTGTGAAGGAGACTCCCCATCTTCATGGCTGCCCTTTTCTTCTTGCCTTTTGCAGAAAAAGTGTGAACGTTATTGGGCCCAAGCACAGGAGCCACTGCAGATAGGGTGCTTCTGCATCAACCTGGTGAGCTGAAAAGAAACACAGGCTAAAACTGTGTTTTCTGGAGTCTTGGATAATATTTGTTCCGTGAAATATCAAGCTGACTTGAAAGGTTAAATCATTTTCTTATAGTTCTCTCACACCACTGGGAAGTGGCATAGCGTGCACATAGGACTTGATATTTGTATTGCTTTTCCATTTTACTATGATGATTGTAATTTCTGTACAGCAAATGTGCCTGGTAAAGTTATTAAAATCTTCATTTCCTTCACCATTTCCAAAGAATTCAGGATAATCTTTCACCTCATCATAAATTGATGCTTAATAAATACAAGAAAACTGTTCTGTTTTGGGACAAAGGAAATAGTTTACGACTGTAAATGAGTTTATTTGGGTTTCTGTTCTTTTTATCACATATTCCAGGCTCTCAAATGTTCTCTCCGTGAATAATGTGAGAGATGCTTTGGCTAAGTGAATTAAACAAATACGTGGTTTGTATTTGATCAAAAATGCTTTGTTGGGGCTGGATCAATAGCACAGCAGGTAGGGCATTTGCCTTGCACGCTGCCAACCCGGGTTCAATTCCCAGTATCCCCTATGGTCCCCTGAGCACCGTCAGGAGTAATTCCTGAGTGCATGAGCCAGGAGTAACCCCTGTGCATTGCCGGGTGTGACCCAAAAGGCAAAAAAATAATAATAATAAAATAAATAAAAATAAATGCTTTTTTTTCCCTACAAATGCATATGTCGGTGCCCAGGATCTGAGTGCTTTTCTTTTCTTATTCCTTCCACCTCCTCAGACAGAAGAGACATGGCTGAATGTGGACATCATGCTCAGGACGCTGCAGGTCACCTTCCAGAAGGTACTATGGGGAAGGTGAGGTCCGGGGAGGCTCTGAGGCTCTGCACCGGGGAGAGCTGTTTCCTGTCACTCTCTCATCTGTGAATAAGCATGGGTGATGGGGACTGCGTGGCCAACTGCTCCTCTCACTTTCCTCTCCCCGTTCTCTCTCTCTCTCCGGTGCTCAGGAATCCCGTTGTGTGCACCAGCTGCAGTTTGTGTCCTGGCCAGACCGCGGGGTCCCCAGCCAGCCAGCGCATGTCCTTGCCATGGTGGAGAAAGCCCGCTGCTTGCAGGGAGCTGACCGCAGCCCCCTCTGCATCCACTGCAGGTTTAGGAAACAGGTGTTGGGGGAGGTGGGAGGGTGGTGAGACAGAGGGATCTGTTTGGGAGGGAGGAAAGAAAGGAGAGCAGGCTGGGGCTTAGCATCAGTCCTGCATGTTTGGGTGCCTGTCTGATCACGTGTGTTCGCGGACGCTGGATGCTCGGCATCTGCTGAGTCTCGGCTGCCGCCTGCCCGGGCGGGCGGGAGCACACAGTTGATGCCTGAAAGTGTAAGCAATTCATGAGTTTTTTTCTTTTAGGGCCAGAGAGATAGTACAGCGGGTAGGGCGCTTACCTTGCACACAGGAGGCCCAGATTTAATGCCTCACATCCCACATGGTCTTCCGGGTCGTGCTGGGGGTGATCCCTGAGTGCAGACCCCGAACACCACCAGGTGTGGCACCCCCCTCCCCAAAACAAACAAAACAAAACGAAAAGAAGTTTTCCTTTTAGGTGATAATATAAGGCTCCTGGGGACTCAGGAGGTGCCTGGGAGACTCACCCTCCCACTCACCTCCGAATGCGCAGCCCAGCCCTGACCGTTCCTTCTGCTCACGTCTGTCAGCGCTGGCTGTGGGCGGACAGGGGTCCTGTGCACCGTGGACTACGTGCGCCAGCTGCTCCTGACACAGGTGTGGGGCTGTGGGGGGGCACTGCCGGGATGGCCCCACCCCCACCGGCTCAAGGGTCTCACCGCCCCGTCTCTGCCACAGACGATCCCACCCAACTTCAGTCTCTTCGAAGTGGTCCTTGAGATGCGGCGGCAGCGGCCAGCTGTTGTCCAGACCGAGGTGGGACCCCGTCCCTGGGACCCCAGACTCCCCCTCCTCTCTGGCCCCCCTTCTTGACGCCACCTCACTCGCAGGAGCAGTACCGGTTCCTGCACCACGCGGTGACGCAGCTGTTCAACGCCGCGCTGCAGGATGCCAGCCCCCAGTACCAGAACCTCAAGGAGGTACCCAGGCCCCTTCCCGTGGGCTCAACCCTGGCCAGCCCTGGCAGCAGGGACGCCCCCCGCCCCGTCTCTGTCCCCTATACTCCTCCACCCTCGCCACTCCAGGGTCCCCGTCCCCTTCACGCATCATCGAGTGCCTTCCTGCTGTCCCCCCAGAACTGCGCTCCGCACTATGAGTACCTCAAATCCCTGTGCACTTCCCCGGCCCTTCTCCGCGCGCCCGACCTGCCCGGCGGAGTCCTCAGGTACCAGGCCTGCCCTCATACCCCCCTCTCTCTGCCTTGCCACCTGTTCCAGGCTTTCATCAGGAGTCCCCTGCGCGTGCCCCGCGCGCCCCCTGCCCTCGCGCCCTGGTGGTCGGGCGCGGAGGACGCAGAGAACCAGCCCCTGGACAGAGGCTGCTCGCCCAGGCCGTAGTCTCTGCTGGGCCGTCTCTTCCTCTTCTTTAGACGCCACTTCCTCAAACGCGGGCACACTCGGAGCCTGTCCCTTGGGTCCCCGCGCGCCCTCCCTCCAGCTGTGGGTACCTGCCCCCACCCGCCGCCACCGCTCTCCAGGCCCGCCCCCCGGGTGCAGGAAGCAGCCGCGCGCGCCGACTTCCTCCCCGCTGGAGCATCTCCTTGCCCCGGTCGGGGCCGCCACCCTCGGGTGCAGGAAGCGACCGCGCTGACTCCCTCCCCGCAGGAGCATCTCGGCGTCCCGGGCCCGGGGCCGGGCCATGGCAGACACCTACGCGGTGGTGCAGAAGCGCGGGAGCGTCGTCGTTGGCGGCGGGGCGAGCCGCTGCGGGGACGGGGACGCGGACGCGCTCTACAGCCGGGTGGTGCGGCGCGCTCGGGACTCCCAGGCGCCGGCCGAGGACCCTCTGGGGCCGCTGCCCGGCCACGGTGAGTCCAGGGTTGGGAAGGGCGGCCACGCGCTCCTTCTCCAGACCCGACAGGGGACCCGTGTGGCCTGAGATCCCCGCCTGAGGCCCACCGGGGCGGGCCCCATGACCTACCCGGGCCGACATCCGGCCCGTGTCCCACCAGGGCTGACATAGGGACCCCTTGACCTTTCCCTCCCCTACCCACCCTGGCGCCCCAGGTCCTGAGAACATCCAGGCTTCCATTCCTTCCCCATCCCCAGGCTGACCACACCCACAACCCATAAGAATCCCACCCGGGAGCTCCCTGGACACCCCTACTTCCCGACCCGATCCTGTGGTCCCCTTTACATGCCCGAGCTCCCTGACCTGACCCTGTGGTCCTCTATCTATGCCCTGATCCCCCTGACCCGACCCTGTGGTCCCCCGTCCATGCTCTGAGCTCCCTGACCCGACCCCGCAGTCCCCCATCCATGCTCTGCGCTCCCTGACCCAAATTTGTACTTCCCTGTTCACAGCGGCCAGCACTCAGAACCCAGCTGCGGGGGGCGCTTATGAGGACGTGACAGGTGTCGTGCAGACAGGCAGTCTGGGTAAGTCCACCCTAGGCAGCCCCAGTCAGGCAGCTTCCCCTGGATGCGGGGAGCTCGGGGGTCCTGAGGTGGTGGCTGCCTGCACCATCCAGTGCTGGTGGGCGTGGCCGCGGCACAGCAGAGCTACGATGCTGGGGGTGGCTTCTGCCCTGTGCCACTGCTCCTCACCTCCCTTCTTCGTGTCACTCACCCGTGGCACATTTCCTCTCCCAGGTTTCAATGTGCGCATTGGAAAGCCCAAAGGGCCCCGTGACCCCCCTGCCGAGTGGACACGCATGTGAGCTGCTGGCCCCCAGCCCCTGCCTGCGGCTTCTCAGGGGGCGCCCTGACCGCTGCCCTCTGGCTGCAATGTGGGGACAAGGATGTGAGCGGAATAAAGTTTCTTAAGGGGAGGGAACCATTGCAGTGTCGCCCCTGTGACTGCAGCGTCGAAGGTAGCAGATGCCACCGAGATTGCTGGGTTGCAGTTGAGAATGACCGCCTTCCCATCTGAGAATGGCCTCCTCCTCCAGACCACCCAGGGGCTGTCCTCGTGTGAGTGGTGGATGAGTCCATCACCGTGTAGTTTCATTCCAGGACTTGACCTTCCTCACTGCTCCCCAGTATTGCAGCACCCCAATGGCAGGTCCGCCCCAGGTAAATACAGCAGCAGTCAAAGGAGACTGACTTTCAACACACACCTTTCAGGTCAAGACACACCCCTGGATGAGCAGGTAGACAGACAGGCCCCCAGTTGACCAGGCAGCTGGACAGTCAGACCTGCAGCAGGGCAGCGCACAGTTGGATGGATGACCACCCAGACAAACTGACACTTGGAGGTCCACTGCCAGCAAGAGAGACCAGCAGACCCCTCCCCACAGTGTGGCAGTAGCCAGATGGGTCCTTTGCAGGCTGCCCTTGGATGGCCAGAGACACAGACAAGCTGATCGCTAGACAGACTTAGCTCTAAGTGAGCAGACTGTCTGGTAAGACAGACTCTTAAAGTAAGTAAGTAAAGGCCCTCCCGTTGATCGTCGATTTGCTCGAGCGGGCCCAGTAACGTCTCCATTGGAGACTTTGTTGTTACTGTGTCTGGCATATCGAATACTCTCGGTAGCTTGCCGGGCTCTCCGAGAGGGGTGGAGGAATCGAACTCGGGTCGGCCATGTTGGCCGCTTGTAAGGCGAACACCCTACCCGCTGTGCTATCGCAGCGGTAGGGCGTTTGCCTCGCACGCAGCCAACATGGCTGACCCGAGTTCGATTCCTCCACCCCTCTCGGAGAGCCCGGCAAGGTACCGAGAATATCTCACCCGCACAGCAGAGCCTGGCAAGCTCCCCGTGGTGTGTTCGATATGCCAGACACAGTAAGCGGGAGGAGGACCAAGACAGACTCTTAGATAGACAAAAACCTCACAGTCAGCCAGGCACCCGGACCTGCAGCTAAGTAGAAAGACTCCAGGCAGTCAGGAGCCAGGTGGGCAGATGAACCCACAGATAAAGAACCGGACAGTTCCCTCTGTTCATTCTGGACCATGTGCAGTCTGGTGGACATTGTAGATCAGCACAGACATGTCCTGCTAGCCAGATGGATCCCCACAAGGCTGATGGACACTGTCGGACTACCAGTCGGACAGTGAGGTATGTCCCTCAGCCAGAGCAGGATGGCCTCAAATCGGAGGAATAGGTGGTAGGTACCATTTGGATAGACCTCCAGCCCCCAGACACACAGAGCCCTGTCCTTGCACACACAGCCCTTGTGCTGACAGATGCACACAGACTGACAGTGTAGCAGGCAAGTGTGAGAATGACCTCTTGCCTTGTAGACAGATTGCCTGACTCAAAGCACAAGGAGGTCTCCTAGACGAGCAGACCGAGGCACTCCTGAGCAGTGAACTGTAGGGCCAGGGAAACAGTGCTCATTCTGGAGGGCATGCCTGGCATGTGGGGAGCCTTGCTTCGGTCTCTCGCATCATATGTTCTCCCTGAGCATGACTGTGTGTTCACAAAAGTGTGGGTGCACACTGCGTGCTTTTGGTGGTCAGGAGCTGCTTCCCCACCCTGGATGGCTGATGGCGATGGGTGAATGAAGGAGGAAATGAGGGCCAGGCTGGCTGGTGATCAGTCACCGCTTATTCCAATCTAGTCTCCCTCTGCCTCCTTCCAGTTTCATCCACTGCCCATATCCAAGGGCTAGCAGGGAGTTAGAGTATAGATGGGTGCCCATAAATCTCAGGGGAAAACTTTTAACCCTTACTTGCTCCAACAGTGTTTTCTTTACCAATTCAATATTACTGCAGTATCTAACAGGCTGTGATATAACGGTGGTGCTCGTGGCGGGTGGTTACCATATGGTGTCAGAGACTGAACATTTTTCACATGCAGGGCATGCAGTCTCAATCCACCCTTCCTCTGTCCATAATTTTTATTTTTTATTTTATTGGGGGGCTGGAGCGATAGCACAGTGGGTAGGGTGTTTGCCTTGCATGCGCCGACCTGGTCGGCCCAGGTTCGATTCCTCCACCCCTCTCTGAGAGCCCAGCAAGCTACCGAGAATATCTTGTCTGCACAGCAAAGCCTGGCAAGCTACCCGTGACATATTCGATATGCCAAACACAGTAACAAGTCTCACAACGGAGACGTTACTGGACCTGCTCGAGCAAATCGATGAACAACGGGAGGACAGTGCTACAGTACCCGTATTCTGTCTCCGCATGCCCACCCTCATAGCCTTAGTTATAGAGAAAATCATGAAGAGTTGGGAGTAGCAATTAACATATAAGTGTGGTCATACAGTCAACAGATGTAAAGTTCTTCCCTGGGGTGGGGGTGGGGAGAGCTTCTAAGACAAACTCTCATCCAGCAAGGTGATCTGCCTAAGGGCAAAATACCATCTAGGGGTGTATTTCTCCTTTCCTTAGTCCATATTTTGATTTAATGTTTTTGTGTTTTGGGGAAGGTAAATACCAAAATGTGTGATCACTGGATCGTATAAAAACTGTCGGCTGGAGCGATAGCACAGCGGGTAGGGCGTTTGCCTTACAAGCGGCCAACATGGCCGACCCGAGTTCGATTCCTCCGCCCCTCTCGGAGAGCCCGGCAAGCTACCGAGAGTATTCGATATGCCAGACACAGTAACAACAAAGTCTCCAATGGAGACGTTACTGGGCCCGCTCGAGCAAATCGACGATCAATGGGAGGGCCTTTACCTTTACCTTTACCTTTCTTTTTGAGGAATCTGTACTGTTTTCCATTAAGACAGTCAGCATTCCTGCCAACAGTGAATGAGCACTTCTTCTCCACCACTTCCTCACCAGCACTGATTGTTTCTAATCTTGGGTGATTCCCACCACCCCTTATGGTCCCCCAAGCCCTGCCAGATATGACCCCCAAACCAAAAACTAAAAACTAAAAATAAAATTTTTTGGATCAGAGTGATAGTATAGCCGGCAGGGAAATTGCCTTGCACACAGAAGACCTGGGTTTCATTCCTGGTACCCTTTATGGTCCCCCAGGTCCCACCAAGAATAATCCCTGAGCACAGAGCCAGGAGTAATCCCTACACACCACTGGGTGTGTATAAAAAGTGAAAAATAATTTGGGGGGACTGGAGTGATAGTATGGTGGGTAAGGTGTTTGCCTTGCAGTAGTTGATCTGGGTTTTGATGCCAGTGGACCTCCGGGTGACTTAAGTGAAGCAGAGAGGGGAGAGACAGCCACTTTCTCCCAATCCACCTCTGCCATCCCAGGACTGGCTGGGAAGGTGAGGACTGATAAAGCCTGTGATGAGGCCCTGCCTGGCATGAACAGCACATGCCCTCAACCCCACCAGGCAGCCACAAGTCACAACTGACTTCCACTTGCTCTGCGCGGCATGGGAGTTGATCCCCACCACCGGGTTTCTTGAGGAGCTGTGGACTCAGGTTGGAGTGAGGAATTGCTCTTTGCAGGAGAGGAAAGCCTAGGCCTTTCCAGTCCTTGCCTTCTCACAGAAAAGAGACCTCAGGAGATGAGCAGTGAAATAAAAACATTTTATTTAGAGGTATTTTGTTGTTTGTTTGTTTGTTTGTTTGTAAGAAGGGGAAGAATGGTTTGCAATATAGGTACTAACACCCTAAAGGAGAGAGAGAAAGTAAGAGGGAATGTGCCTACCACAGAGGCAGGGGGTGGGAAGGGGCGGGGGTGGCAGGAGGGATACTGGGAACATTGGTGGCGGAGAATGGGCACAGGTAGAGAGATAGGTACTTGAGCATTGTTTGATTGTAATCACAAAAGCTTGTAGGTCTGTAAACTGTATCTCACAGTGGTTCATTAAAACTATAAAAAGAAAAGAAAGAAAAAGAAGAAAGAGAAAGAGAGCACGGGCTTCTCTAAAGATGGAGAGAACCCCTGCACACATCCCAATGTCAGATATGAAAGCATGAAGAGTACACATCTCTAGAGGGGAGATGTTGGTGACACATGTGCCCGGGCACTACATGAGCTTGACCATGACACATGGACACAAACAGTACATGGGCCTGGCAGCATATGCCAGGGCTTCCTTTGTTCGTCAGCTTTTATAAGGTCTTTCCCAAGCTCCCCACATGGGGCTTTCTGTTGCTAAGGGTCCTTGCCAAGGGGGTAAAGCTGGGATTAATTGGTGGTCTTCTTTGAAATTCCTTTCTTGCTGCAGTTTCTCTCCTGGGGGGTTTGGGATGCAGGTAAAGGTCTGATCAGGCCTTAGTTCCTGTGTCCACAAGGTGGGTCCTGACGGCCTTGGGGCTAAATTGGTTTTATTACTTCCCAAAAATTCCATTGCTAGGGGCCCTATATGTTCCTATGACATATTATGATGGAAATTTATTACATGTATCTTTAGTTTTTATAATTGATTTATAGCACTGACTTTATGAGTTAATAGAGATAATACTCAAAAAGAGAAAATGTTGTTTGTGGGTGGAAAAATTTAAAGATGCTCACCCTGTCTGCACTTTGGATGAACCTCCCTGTTTCATGCTAAGAAAACCTCCCTGTAGTCATACTGATAAATTGCCATGATGTACATGCCCTGCTTTGCCTGACTTTTGATGAAGTCAGGTAAATGAGGGAAGAGGGCAGTGGAATTCCCAGGAAGTAATAATCACCTGTCCTAAGGCCACCAGGACCCATCTTGTGAGCTCAGGAACTGATGAGACCTTTACCTGGAGCTAGCCCAGACCAGAGAAGGCTGGATGGACCCACCCTCAAAGAGAAGCTCCAGCAGGAACAAAGGTCAAGAAAAGGCGTTTCAAAGAAGACCACCCCAACTCTACCCCCTTGGCAAGAACCCTAGCAAAACTCTTACCTATGCAGAAAGTCTTTCATGGGCACATTGGGGAAACCCTCCAAGAGTCAACTTGAACAAAGTAAGTGT